TAAGTGTTCGGGGTTGCAGCTGGGCTGGGCTGGAAGTCCCTGGAGATTTGGGTGGAGTAAATTTTTTACCACAAAGGGGAAATGAATGGACAAGTGTTGAGCAGCACAGTGATGCCATGAGAAGGATGCTATTATCTCCATTTCACAGGTGAGCCCAAAGATGGCGTCTAAGGTGACAATATATTATTCACCCATGCCCAAGGTCACACAGCTGAGAAGTGTGAAGCTGAGAACCCCAGGCTTTCCATCCTTAAGCCTTACCACTTACATCATGCTGGGCATTATTTCATTCTGGAAATTTCACCCAGGGCCAGGTTCTTTATATACTTTCTCTGAGCTATAACAGGATCCAGCCATGCTCTTAAGTGTCAGCATGTCAGCATTTCAAAAACTTGCCACTTCCACATGACCCTAACACCTAGAGCTAAAATTGGACAGGATCTCAGAGCCCAAGCGGTTCTTTCCTTTTCTGATGATTTCACGAGGTTGGGGGGTGGAGTTCGGATCCCCGAATGGGTAGAGTTCAGATTAGAAAATGTGTCCTTAACTGGCACTAGGGTTTGTTCTCACATATTCTATCCTTGTATTCATAGTCTTGTTTAAGAACTATAGACTCCAGAAGCAAAAAAGAAAAAACACAAAAAACCAAATCTTTATGTTTGCTTTCTGCTATGTTGAAGAATGATGTGATATAATTATATCATTGTCAAAAAAACTCTTGACTATGTCTTCTGTTTGCAATTATTGAAAACAGAAGCATAAAAAGAAAGGAGAATAGAAGCATTTTCAATAACAGTATCAGCTGTTTTGGGGAAAGGAAGTGACATTCACAGTGAGCTTGTTATGTCTCGGGTATTTTATATTATGTTACTTACTTCTGGGAGGAAAGTATTAATACTCTCACTTGCAGATGAGGAAACTGAGGTTTAAGGACATTACAAAAATAGTAGGTGGCAGAACTGAGATTTGAACCCAAAGACACTTGAATCTTAACAGGGCAGTGTGTCAGGTTTTAAGAAGGAAGTGTGGGGATTAAAGGAGATAAAACCATTAAAGAGTGATCTTTAAATGGCTTAGAACAGCACCGGGAATATAAGACGTGTTCTAGTCATGTTAATTACTGTTACTGGCATTATTATCATCAGAAGACCATCTGAAAAACCATGCTTTGTAGAGAATCTCTGAGACATGCATTCCTCAGCCAAATCTAGCATACCCACTAATACCCGGACATATGATACCTGGAGATTATGCTGATGATAACGTCAGCTGTTCCATTCACAGAGTGATGCTGGCTCTAAGCTTTCCAGTGTCTCCATTCTTGGAGGTAAAGCCTTGTCAAACAGGCTTCCAGAAAGCTGTTGACTTGTCCTGGCATAGACAGCTGGAAGGAAAGATAAAGGAATTGCCTTAAGTTCAGAGCGCTGATGGCAGTTTTTAAAAGGCAAACTCTGGCTGTCCTTGTGATTACAAGAAAACAGTCACGGGTCAGAGATAAGAGACAGAAGGGCCTTGCCTGGAACTCTGTCTGCCTGACGTGTTCTGAGGTTGGGGAAGATTTGGGGGGAGCTTATTGCTGAAGATCCATTCAATTAAGAACATAAGGAATGGCCAACATTTAAGGACTGAAGAATCGAGATCAAATTTATCTCAGTTTTCACCTCTGAAACTTGCTCCATGTGGGCTATCTCATTTAAAAACAAACAAAAACAAAAACAAGAAAACTTAGGGACTTCCCTGGCAGTCCAGTGGTAAGGACTTCTCCTTCTAATGCAGGGGGCAGGGGTTCGATCCCTGGTTGGGAGGTAAGAACCCACATGCCTCGCAGCCAAAAAAATTCAGAACATAAAATAGAAGCAGCATTGTAAAAGTTCAATAAAGACTTTTAAAAAATGGTCCACATTAATAATAGTAATAATAATAATAATAAAGTTCCATCAGGTTGATAGGGCCCCTACTCCTTCCTTCATCTGGGCCTTTGCTTATGCTGTTTTCTCTGTTCACCTTGGCTGGAGCTCCTCCTATTATTCCTCAGGACTCTGTTCAGCACCATTTCCCCAAAGAAGTCTTCCTGAACTGCTGTCCCATCTCCCTATCTCCCTACTGTGGGTTAAGCGCCTCTTCTCTGAGCTCGACAAGACCCTGGGTGTAGTTCTCTACCTACATCATGACTCATGTCACTCTGATCTCTTCTTCTGCATTGACAATATGTGGTATGGGCCTGACTTTCCTTTTAGACCAGAGCATCTGGGCATTCCTGTCATTCATGAACACAGTTACTGGTGTGCAGTCAGCTCCCAAGAACAAGGACTTGGCTCAAACTGCATCTGAAACAGGGTGAACCCATCTTGGTGAACTATGCAGACAGTAGCTGGAGTCACTTGCATTAAAAAAAAAACCTACCTTCTCTTTTTTCCTGCCCCACCCACCTTGCCCAGTACTCTCTCTAATCGCCATATCCTGTTTTGAGAAACAAAAAGCTACCTTCAAAGACAAACCTGAAATCTAAACATAAAAAGCGACGACGAAATGACCACAGATGATGAGAATGAAAGGCTGGGTGATGCATTTTATCTTTTCTGGAAGGCAGTCTTCCTTGGGCCTCTCTGATGTTGCCGCCGTTCATGTCCCTTTAAGTCAACAGCCAGAAATGACGATGGATGCTGGCTCTCGGCAGTAGACCCAAGCTCATCCTCCTTCCAGTTCCAAGCTGGGATCCAAGCCTGGTGTGGGCTGCGGTATGCAGGCTTTGAACTTGCCTGGCACATGTATGAAACAGTGTGATCCAACTGGTAGCAGAAATTCCATGCTTATGCAGAACAACATCTGCAGATTTTATCTGCAGTTACAGTCACACTTGGTATTTGAAGAATGAAATGAAGCAACCACAGAAAGAGATAAAATGGCAAGTATTCTCTGTCTGGACTCTCTGTAGCTGTTGCAAATACAAATAGGTTTCACAATGAGAAAAGGAAAATAGGAATATTGGGGGTTGGGGGAAGACAGAGATATGAGCATTTATCTATTAGAGGTGGCATATGTAATTGGTCCTGTGTCAGCTTTGGAGTGGAGGGAACATAAACTGCTTAGAGCTAGAAAGATGTGGGCTCCTGGCTCTGGCATGTGCAAAATGACGTAGGTACAAAGTTATTCATTGCAGGACTTCCCTGGTGGCTCAGTGGTAAAGAATCTGCCTGCCAACGCAGGAGATGTGGATTCGATCCCTGGGTTGGGAGGATGCCCTTGAGAAGGAAACGGCAATCTCCTCCAGTATTCTTGCCTGGAAAACCTCAGGCACAATAGGAGCCTGGCGGGCTCCTCTTGACACAGAGTCAGACAGGACTTAACAACTGAAAACAAATTCATTGCAACATTTTTTTTTTACAGTAGCAAAACATTGGAAACCACCCAGTAACCAAGAATGAAGTCCTGGTTAATTAAACTGTAGTATGTCTGTACAATGGAATACTGTGCAGCTGTAAAAGGAAAAGAATGAGGAAGGTTTTCAGGCACTGATGTGGGAAGATCTACGAGATAATCTGTGAAGTGAAAGAAGCAAGGCACAGAGCAATAGGTATCGTATACCACACTTTGTGTACACATGGAAGAAAAATAAGACGATAGAGTTCTCATTAACTGGTATATGCACAGAGAAATGCTGACCGGGTATCTATGACAAGGAACATGTACCAGTGGTCACCTGTGTCCGTGGCAAAATAGACAAGATGAGGCAACTTGGTATTTGGGGGTCAGTGGGGATGAGGTTTTTTTTTAACTTTTTATTTCATGTTGGAAAACAGCCTATTAACAGTGTTGTGGTAGTTTTAGGTGATATCAAAGGGACTCAGCCATACACATACATGTATCTATTCTCCCCCAAACTCCCCTCCCATCCAGGCTGCCACATAACATTGGGCAGAGTTCCCTGTGCTAGACAATAAGTAGGTCCTTGTTGGCTATTAAATATAGCAGTGTATCCATGTCCATTCCCAACTCCCTAACTAGATGAGAAACTTTATTGTATCTTTTCCTAGCCTTTATGCTTTTGAAAGATGTGACTGTGTTATATGCGTATGTGCTGTGCACAGTCACTCAGTTATGTCCAATTCCTTGTGACCCCATAGCCTGTAACCCACCAGGCTCCCCTGCCCATGGAATTTTCCAGGCAAGAATACTGGAGCGGAGTGCCATTTCCTGCTCCAGAGGATCTTCCCAACCCAGGGAGCGAACCCACATTTCTTGTGCCTCCTGCACTGGCAGGCGGATTCTTCACCCCTAGCCACCTAGGAAACCCATTACTGTTTGCAAATTAAATCAAAGAAACAAGCATCATAGCTCTGCCACTTTGTTACCAGCTGAGCCTGGAAAATTACTTAACATCTTTCAGTCTGCATGCTGACTTCAGGGCGATGAAGATATTTACATCCCCCCCCCCGCCCATGGCCCGCTAGGTCCCTGAGCAACAGTAAGCAGAAAGCCCTAAGCCCAGTGCCTGGAGGAGTGCTCACAAATGTTCGGTGAGTTTCCTTCCCTATGGGAGTGCCAGGGCCTCTCTCTGTCCTGGGGCTGAGCTGTGAACCACACTGGCTCCGAGTTTCTCAGCAAACACTAGGTGCAACCTTCTCCTGCTTGCCTTGTCGTGACTTTATTTGAGTTCTGGCTCTCCAAGTAAAAATGTTCGGTGACCTTAAGAATTCAGGGGCCCCTGAACACTCTTTTGGGCGGGGCAGCCTCTAGAAACATCGGCTTCCTTTCCTTTTTGGTTTGTCTCTTCCACATCGGCTCAGCTTGTAGTCAACTCTTGCCTGACTCCCTGCGGAGCAGTCCCAGGGCTCAGGTGCCTCCCCCGGGGGAGGCACCTTTTTCCCCAGGAGGCTGCTCGCCTGAGCTCTGGGGTTCGGTCTCTCTCTCTCCACCTTGCTCCACTGCTTTCTCTCCGAATCAGATCTCTGGGCTTCTCTCCTCGGGAAGTGAGGGGACCGAAGCCTGTTATCAGTGAATCAAGCTTTCTGCCCCAGGAGAAGCTTTGCGAAGAGAGCCAGGAGCCGGAGGAGGGGCTCCGAGGGACCACCCAGCATCCCAGCCCGGTCTTGTGATGCGGGGTCACGGGGTGCTCTGACGTCGAGGCTGGTGTGTGATCGTTCGCAGGTCAACGCCGAGAGAGTCGCAAGCGGAGCGCGGAGGTTAGGAGAGAACGCGCAGTGCTGGGCGGAACAAAGCCAGCCGCACACACGCTTGCCCCGGCCCTTTCGCTTCCTCGGGGAAGGGACGGCGCGCGGCCTCTAGCGGCCTCTCCTACACCTGCACTCCCGAGTCTACACCCTTGTGCATGATGGTTCGTGTGCAATTCGGCCACGGGTACGTGGGCAAGAGGCTGCAGGACCGCGTGATGTGGTCCTCGGAAAACCCTAACCGCGCAGAGTTGTGGCGGGTCCGGCCGGCAAGCGTGTGAGTCAGGCTGGACCCCACCCGCCCCTCGCCGCGCCGCTCCGGACTCCACCCGCCCATCCACGCTGCATCCAGAGCTCCTCCCCACGCCATTCCTCCCGCTCCTCTCCCAGCTCGGTTCCCCTCTCCGCCTCAGTTATCCAGGCGCTGTCTGCTGCCCTAAATCTCGGGCGATGCTTTGCAGCACTGGTTGCTGCATGCCTTCAGGCCCTCCTCTGCACAGATCCTGGGACCTAATATTTCTTGAATGAGTGAAGCAAGCCTGTTTGAGTAAGTTGAGAGAGGACCTGAAGTTGAACTGCTTCCATTCACCATCTATTTTCTAGGTTATTTAAAAACATGCAGCATTGACTGTTCTGCCGATTGTTACAAAATTTTGGTATTATGGAATGTGCTGGACACAACGACCAAATCAAATCCTCTGATTTTTTTGGAAGATCAGTGTAAATCCTTTGTTCCCTATTGAGAAACAAAACAAAAAATGAAACGACAAAACCCACAAAAGACAAAAAAACCACCCAAACGCTTGCACACTCACTGGGTAAATGAAACTGTTTAAAGTACTAGTACTACATTTTTTTAACCCAAGATGGATCCCTTTAGGGCAATTACAGAGATATAACATGGCACTGACTTTTTGTGCATATTCTTATTTCAAATTTCTGTTTTCTGTATTACAAGCTACTGTCCACAGAGGGTCATAAATCCCCTGGAGAAGTCATATGTTACACCACGTGATTTGCTTTGCATCTGTTTTGCAGCTGTTCACTTTGCAGTTTTATTTTGCCTGTTGGAAACCCTAGAGCAGTACTTCTGAAACATGAATGTGCATACGAATCACTTGGAGGATCCTGTTAAAATGCAGATTTTGTGTTCGAAGGTCTGGGGAGGCCTGAGATTCTATAGTTCTAAGGAGACGCCAGGTGGTGCCGATTCTTCTGCTCCAGACACCACCCTTAAAATGGTGAGGTTATGGAAAAATAGGAACAAAAGGACTGAATGCTCGTGGCATTAGTGTGGACGCGCTTGCACCGAGAACGAGTCTGGCTATGGAGGAGTTTTCCTTGGAGAGTCTGGTCTACTCTTCCCCTTGCCCTTCACTTTCCCCTTTCTTTTAAATATTCTTTCCTGTTGTCTTGATTGGAGAGAAACTAGGAAAGCAAAGCCAGAAGCTATGTTGATCCAGAATGTGTGGGTAACATCTTAGGCTTCTTTAGGTCATCTGGGCTGGAAGAAAATGAAAGGATCTGCAGCTTAGCTGTCGCTGAACCCTGTGTGGCCTCTGAACTTTGTGTAAGAGCAACCAGAAGGAGACCCGGAACCATGGTTTCAGTTCCCTCAACTTTATTTTACTAATGTGAGAGTACAGCAGGCATTTGCAAGGGGCTATGCTCTGCTCTTTTCTTTCTGTATGCTGTGATCAAGGGCGGGGGTTCTCAGCTGCTGCACTGTTGAAATTTGGGGCTGGATAAATATTTGCTGTGGGAGAACCTGAGTGTCCTTGGTGTTATAGGATGTTTAGCAACATCTCTTGGACTGTTACCACTTAGAAATCTGTAGCACCTACCCCAACACTAGTTCCCAGTTGTCACAACAAAAAAAGTCTCCAGACATTTCCTAAATAACATCTTGGGGACCAAAACTGCCCTTGTTTGAGAAACACTAATCTAAGATAAAGAATATTCTGTCAGTTTTACTCGATGTCTATCTTTCCCAGCTTTATCTGTCTTTCCAAATAACATCTTATTTTCCACTTTCTAGGTGGAATGTTTCTAAGTGGGATACCACAAAATGAAATTTCCAAATTAGTGAAGCTAAGGCATATCGGTTTGTACTCTGTGCCTATTCCAATGGATTGGTTCTGGCTACGGGAGACACTAGGTTGAAAAGGGTTCTGAAGATTCCATTTTCAGCAGGAAATAACGCTGTCTGCCATGAGTGTGGGGTAGAGTGGCCATTATGTATGCCATGAGTTTGTCTCATTTAAAACTATAAATTACCAGCTTCCTCTGCATTCTAGTTTATTCTCAGGGGGGCAGTAGCTGGAGTCTGTTGGGAAGCATGTTGGCTTTGGGATCTGAAGATCTGAGTTGGAATTCCAGCTATGCCATTTACTAAATATGACCTTGAATGAGTGGATCATTTAATCTCCTCGAGTTTCAGTTTCCTCAGCTTAGAAAATGGGCTATTCATTCCTAGGTCATACAGTGGGTGTGAGGATTAAAGGAGACAAATGAAAGTATCAAAATAGTACCTGTCTTACAGGGCAGAGGTCCCCAACCCCTGGGGCCATGGTTCGTGGTATGTTAGGAGCTGATCTGCACAGCAGGAGGTGAGTGGTGGGTGAGTGGGCAAAGCTTCGTCTGTATTTACAATTGCTCCAGGTGGCACTGGTGGTAAAGAACCTGCCTGCCAGTGCAGAAGACATAGAGATGCGGGTTCGATCCCTGGGTCGGGAAGATCCCCTGGAGGAGGGCATGGCAACCCACTCCAGTATTCTTGCCTGGAGAATCCCACGGACAGAGGAGCCTGGAGGGCTATAGTCCATGGGGGTCACAAAGAGTCGAACATGACTAAAGAGACTTAGCACGCACCCATCACTCAGATTACTGTGTAATCTGAGGAGCTCCGCCTCCTCTCAGATCAGCTGTGGCATTAGTTTCTCATAGGAGCAAGAACCCTATTGTGAACTGCGCATGCAAGAGATCTAGGTTATGGGCTCCTTATGAGAATCATCCTGAAACCAATCCCTCATCTCCACCCCCAAGTCCGTGGAGAAATTGTCTTCTGCGAAACCAGCCCCTGGTGCCAAAAAGGTTGCGGACTGCTATTACAGGGAATGCTCAATAATATTTGTGTATTGATATATTATTTATTCAATCAATAAATAGATGCCACAAATATATGGCCAGGGAATATTATCCTATATTAAATATTTGGAAATTTTCAGAAGATAAAAGTGGGGTCCTGAAAGAGCTTATCCAGAAGAAGAAAGGAAGGAGCCAGAAGGGTAGGGCCAAGCATCCTCTCAAAGTGGATTTATACTTGGAAGCTGTTAAACTGGCCCTCAGTGAGAAAACAGTTTAGAGAAAGTAAGAGATATTTGTAGAGATGACTCACTAGGGAAGCCCTAAAGAGTTCTCAAAGTTTGTCCCCAGACAAGCAGCAACAGCATCACCTGGGAGCTTGTCAAAAATGAAGTCATAGGACTTCCCTGGTGGTTCAGTGGTTAAGAACCCATCTGCCAATGTAGGGGACACAGGTTTGATCCCTGATTTGGGAAGATTCCACACGCTGTAGGGCCCAGGTATCACAACTGCTGAGTCTGCACTCTAGTGCCCAAGAGCCGCAACTAGAGCTGGTACTTTGCAACAAGAGAAGCCACCACATAGCAACCACAAAACACAACCAACAAAAATGAAGTTACAATGGCCGGACACTAAAGCACTTGATTCACAGGCAAGAAACTCAGGACCTCTGTCAGAGCTATTATCTCTTAGTCTTGCCTCTTACAGAGTATGAGTTTTCTAACCCCCAATAGAGAAGAAACAGCAAACTCAAGGATGTGAAGTGGAGGTAGTGGATCCCGAATGCAAAGAGTGATGAATGATAAAGAATGGAAAACCCCCAAATATTAAGAAAGTGACAACTGATAGAATAGAAAACCCCCAGATATTAAGACTGGACTTGGGTTATGTTAAGTGGGGCAAACAGCCATGTACCCCTCAATAAGTCCTTTGGTTATTGTTTAATATTCCAAAAGTTGATATCTGTAATGTGACCTAGAATCAAGAAAAATTTAAACCATGTTTTTTGTTCTTGGTTTAAAATCATAGGAAGGTATAAATTTCAGAAATATTTTTTATCCACTGAAATCTGTACAAGAAAATTTAGTATTTGGCTCTGCAGTTGCCAGTTATATAGTAATCTATTTTGCATATGAAAGTTTGTATTTAACTGTTTTGTTCATTAAAAACCTTACAGTGGTTATGCATATTTAATTTCAGAAAGTTGAGAGTTGGTCAGAATATATTTTGCAGTACCTACGATTGCTTTTCTGAGGTAATAAAAGGTTGTCTGGCAGAAACTGAAAAAAAAAAAAAAGAAATATTGTTTATTTAAACAAAAGGAACATTTCAAATAAATGAAGTCTGAATACTTTAAGGAATCATTGTTGTTGTTCAGTTGCTAAGTCGTGTCTGATTCTTTGCAACTCCATGGACTGTAGCACTCCAGGTTCATCTGTCATCCACTATCTCCCAGAGTTTGCTCAGATTCATGTCCATTAATTTGGTGATAATATCTAACCATCTCATCCTTCGTCTCCCCCTTTTCGTTTTGCCTCAAGCCTTCCCAGCATCAGGGTCTTTTCCAGTGAGTCGGCTCTTCCAATCAGGTGGCCAAAATGTTGGAGCTTCAGCTTCAGCAATTACAATGAATATTCAGGGTTGATTGTGTATTAACCATAATTATAGATCTTCAAGAGTTAAGTGAATTTCATCCCATGTTACCAGCTATGAAGGTCAGTGCCTCAGGAATTGGCTATTTGTTGAGATGACTTACTAGGCAAAACAATGAGTTCTCAACATGTGGTCCTTGGGCCAGCAGCATCAGCCTCACTTGAGAGCTTGTCTGAAATGTGAAATTTCAGGTGCCACCCAGATTTCCTGAATTAGAAATGCATGAGTGGGTGGAGCCCAGAAAATCTTGGTTAACAAGCCTTCCAGGTGATTCTGGTACATGGCCAAGTTTGAGATTCCCTGCTCTAGACTGGGGTACCAGCCTTCATTCATGTCACCCCAGTGGGCACAAGTTGTTCTCAGTTCAGAATATTTGGACCGTAAATCTAGAGTGGTACCTAAGCCTAGAAGAAAGAGCAGATTGAGATAAACCTGGGCTTAAATTCTGGCTTCACCACTTGCTACTTCTGTGCTTTTGAACATATTATTAATGTACACTAAATACTACTAACCATTTGGAGATTTAGTTGTTCTGAAAATGGAATGAGCTGATATGCATTAAAACACAGTGTGGACTCCCCTGGTGGTCCAGTGGTTAAG